ATATTATAGAAACCAGTGTTGTAATAGCATATAAATAATTAGGGATTCTCATTAGATCACTTTAGTGTAACATTATTTGGTTTCCTGAACTCTTGTTGTGTATGTTTGTATTAGTCAATTAGAAGGAAAATGTGACAGTTAGCCCAAGGGTTTTGTAGTTCAGTGTGTCTTATTTCCAGTTTGTCAGTTGATCCAAAGTATTAGTCACCATATCAGCTGAATCTAAAGAGAACAACACTGCATCTGGAGTCTAATGGTGGGATAAAAGTTTGTTTTTCAAAACAAATAATATGTATGCTTTTCTGCAATTTTTGGAACGAAAGAGCCAATCTCTTTCTTTTAAATGTGTCTGTTGTCTCGGAAGAAATAGGTCCTTCCCTTGGTTTAATTTGTTTTCCTTTCTTTTCTTCAGGTTGATAACTTCATTGACATTTGTGATTAACTGGGTTTTAAAGATGCTGACATTTAGAGTTGATCCTCCTTTGCAGCTTCTGTAACAAAACACTGCTTACAATTCTTTTCACCTATTTTTCTATGCAAGTGTCTGGTGCTTAACTGTTGTAGTTAGTATATATTAAATTTCTGTGTCAATCTAAAACTTATTTAAAGAGCTAGCATAAAGATACAGTACTTACCTCTTTGATTATCTGAAAACAAGTGTACATTTGGAAATAAATCATAGCAATGTGGGTTATTTATTCCTAATTTTTTTATAACTACTTGAAGAATTTATGTTGTTCTGCAGAAGATATTTATTGCCTTTGTGCCATATTTGGAGTGTATTCTTATGCTGGAAAAATAGAGAACCTTTATTGTAGTATAAAACACTCGCTCATGGTGAGAGACTTCTCCAGGGTCAAGCTGTTCAGGTATAAGCAATTTATTATAAGGGTAAAGAGAGGGAGAGACCTGTTTCTGCCACCAGCCTCGGCATACACGTGGTCAGGGAGGGAGAGAGAGTGGAACGGGGAGAGCAGGAGAAGTGAGGTTAGAGGGGGAGGGAGGAATCAAGAGAGCATGAGGGAGAGCGGGGAGAACAAGAGAGGCTTAGGAGAGAGAGGGAAACAAGAGTAGAGTAAGAGGGAACACAAGGGAGTTAAGGGAGTGAGGAGAGTAAGAGAGAGAGAGGGGGGAGAGAAAGAGGGGAGAAAAGGGTATGGGGAGAAAACGAGAGTTAAGAGGGTGGGAAGAGTAAGAGAGCGAAGTTCCTGTTACAATACAATATATGTCTTTCTCTAGTGAATATTCTAATTCCCAGTAACCAATCACGACAAGATGCACGCACTAAATAATTTACATATATTAAATATAGATATATATTAGATATAGCCTGTAGGAACTACTATATTACCATACAGTGTTACATTTCAGTGTAAATGCTTTACAAATTCTTCTCTTGCTGCTTGACCTTTGGATTCTCTGTCTGCAGAAGGACATTGTTTCTTCAATCAGGGATTCTTCTTTAGCTGGCAAGGCTATTGTTCTTTAGATATTTATTAACTAGCACTCAGTATCCCATGACTCAAAGCTAGCTCTCATTTCTACTTCGATTCTAGGCTTCGTATTTTCAGAATCTTTTGCTAAACAATCATATTCATAAGGTTTCCCTGTTTCATCCTCCCCAACAAGCCCCTTTAATTTTTATTCTTGCTGTATATGACAATGATTTCAGTAGGAGAGGTGGATGGTAGTCCCCAGGAAGTCTGGCAGAGGGGTCCCTCTGGGATGGATGGGCCTCCATCCCTTACATGGTAGCCATAAGAAAGTTGGAAGTTAGGGAGATCATGGGAATTTTCAGTATGCTTCTTCATAGCCACTAAGTTTTGAATTGGTTGGTTTTGATTACCATGTCACTGAAAAATCTTTGTAGCTGTACATGTAATGATACAGTATTTGCCAGGGGATGTTTTGTTGCACTGTATTTGGAACAGTGACCACACTGTGTTAGGCAGAGTGACAACACAGACTGTCTAGCCTTAGTTGCAAAAGAGAGCACATTTTTATCTTCCAGATCTTCTTTTATAGACAGTTCTGAGAAGGTCCGAAAAGGTAAAGCTTGCATTGGTCATCAAACCGATACATCACCATCATTGGACAGTTAGGAACAGCACCCCTTGACCATTTCTTGCAAGTAAACAACAAGGAGACAAACAATACCTACAAAGGTTGTTCTCCTTCTCTACGGACTGTTTGGATTCCTCCTTATGATTTCCAGGGCCAGAGTGAGAAAGCTGTGTACTTGACTAGCTCAAGCTAGTGCCTGAAGCCTAAAAATCTCTTATTTGACCACTGTCAGTTCCCACAAAGTTTCTTACAGATCCTTAAAGTAGTTCCTCAATTCCCCTTCTGTTGATGTTTTCTCTAAAAAAACATTAGAAAGATACTAAGGAAGATATTATCTTCTTAATGAAGAATTATATGCTGAATTATTACAATAATTGTATCAGTAATTTGATGAGGTGGCAAAGTGTCTAGAGCTAAACTGGTGGTAATTGATGCAAACAAAAATGGATTTTCCTGATCTATAGCTTTTACAAAGAGGAAAGCAAACCTGGAATGAAAATATTTTTCAGCTGCTACTGTTTTGAGCTTGTCAAGTTACGCTAGCTATTCTTCCAAGTACAGTTAATTTTTTTTTTCTGGGTAGCTGATTTGCCCCCTGCATTTTTTATTTTTTTTCTATCTTGCTCTATTTACATGTATGCAAATAATATTTTTTTAAGTGGCATGTTTTCTGAATCATGTAAATATTTTCTCTCTGGAGATATGAGGGACAACTGCATTTTAGCTCCCTTGTTGTGAGGGAAGCCAAAAAGAGAAATCAAACACACATGCATACACATTTACACACTGAAATCAATACATATGCTTGAGGAATACAAGAGAGACCCCTGAAGAAATAGCCTTTCTGCAGCAATGCTTTTCTGTGGCTGGCTACCTCCAAAAGAAACACAGAATAAACATACCCAGTGAGAGATGAACTGAAGCTGTGATGCAGTAGGACTGAAGAAAATTAGCTTTTTGAAAAGAGCACAGCTTTAGAGAAAACTAACCATATCATCACAAGGGCATAGGAGATAGGAAGAGTCTTCTGCTTGTGTAATCTTTGGACTGCTTTGTGTTACTACACTTACATATGCTAGCCTTGCTAAACATTGGAGTTTAATAAGTTCCTGAGAATGAATGCATTTTATTTTAGGGAAGAGACACTTATACTACTGCTTCACATTAAGGAATCTTAGTGCTTCCATTAATTTAATGTAGAATTACTTCACATGATTCAGAATGAAGATATAAACTATCTGGTATAAAAAGCTGGCTTGTATTTAACATTGTATTTCAGTGAGAGGGCATAGGTGCATCATTTGGTAAAAAGTGCACTTGCTTAGTATAACTGCTTAAAGGAGCATGCAAAGGCTTTTAAATGGCTGATGTATTGACCTTAGAGGAGCAGTAGTGCTTGCTGTGTCTGTCCATCTCAAAATCTAACATTGGAGAAGCACATGTATTTAAAGTTCAAAGGCCATCATCAATTACAAATATGGAGCTGGAAATGTCAGTTCTTAATTGTTTGATTAGATTCTGGAGAATAAATGAGAAATCTGTAGAGAGTCATACCTACAAGTCTTATTTCCAGATAGGTAGATTAGTTACCACACTTATTCACCAATCTACAAACTTTATTATCAGTAGTACTTACAGCTTCTCAAAGCTGGGCATTTATCAAGTACAAGCCTGTACTTGATAAAAATGTATGGCAGATAACATGGTTGTTTATAGAATTGAATGGCTCGATCACAAGGGAAATACAAATCAAAGTATGGTGGCAAAGGAGGAGTAGGAATGTTTTAAGGGAGTGGAGACCAGACATAACGACAGTGAAACAGGAGGAAGAGAATAAGATTATTTTTGTATAACCAGGCATGAAAAATAGGATAATAATTAATGTAGTTGGAAGATGAAAGCAGAATTGTGCTCAAGTTGTTTCAAAGAGACAAAGATTAACTGGAGTCTACTTGAACCTAAACTACCTGAAACTAACATCCTGTGTCCAGTACAGTTGGGATTAATGCCAAAAAGCACAGCTGAAATGATTTTACAGGTATGGAGGATTTTCTCTAGTGAATTGATATCCATACTAGTTCTTCATTAGATAATGCTAATTTTTTTTGTCTGGGAAAGGTATCCAGCATTGAGAATTCTTCAGCAAAGGAGCATTAAATCCCCTCAGAGAAGACTCAAAACTTGCACCGAATAACAAAGTATGTTTCCCTCTTACACAGACTGGTTGTATTTTCACTGTTCACTGCATTAACCTTCCCTAGAAGACTGGATCAGGTTGAAGTTTCTACCCATTAGGCTTGAGGTGTTCATTACTCTGGGTTCACAGCATCAATAGATAAAGCTCTGGTATTAACAACTGTGACTGACAGCTGCTCTCCTCTGCCCAGTGTTACTTGCTTTAGTAATTGCAAAAGAGAGAAACTGAGCTCTAACAGGCTGGTTTGAGACAGCTAGATACCTACTTCAGTAATTAAAACTCTGTAATCCAATGAGAAGAGTATACCCCTTTGATATATACATATATATTTATTTTTTTTTTCCCCAGGAGCATAACTGTATATGAAAGAAAATGTTCTCTCAAACTTGTAGAGTTTCAACTAATAAACTTACATAATGTGGGGACATTGCTTAATGAATTTCTACTGGGTCTCATTATGTAGTGTTGTTACATTTTTGACGTATTTTGGGAAAAGCATTGCTTGATAACAGAAAAAGTATGTATATAACCTAAAGAATGTTCTGTGATTTTTGAGCATAGAAAGAATGTTACAGATAAAGCAAGAATTTTCTGTTACACCTTTTCAAATAGTTTTATTGCATTCAGTAAAACGGTATTGTTGAAATATTTCTAAATGCTTTGTAATTTGGTATAAACATTAATATACCAACTTACAAGCATATATATAAAAACTAAAATGTATATGTTTGTCTTGCAGGGGTCAGTAAGCTGATCCATCATTTACACAAACACAAGATACCCGTAGCTGTTGCCAGCAGCTCAAGCGAAGAGTCATTTCAGAGAAAAATAACCAGACACAAAGATTTTTTTGGTCTTTTTCACCATATTGTGTTGGGAGATGACCCTGAATTGAAGCGTGGCAAGCCACATCCTGATCCATTTTTACTCTGTGCAGAGAGATTTCACCCTCCTGTACCACCAGAGAAGGTAAGAGGGGGAGGACAGAAATTAAATTTAGGAATTTTCTGTTTGGGCTGTATTTAGATGATTTTTTTTTTTAAGGTGATAAAGACTTAGATTCATATAAACATTATAAAAATTAGCAACCCCCATTTTCAAAGATGTTTGTGGTGTTGAAGAGAGATTTCCCCCCACTACATCTAGAGTTTGTTATGCAGACTGCTCTGATTTGCTACATGGCAGCATGCAGTAATAGGAAAGTGTAATGATTTTCTGCTGTATACATAAATCTGCAAGCTTAACTTCACTATTCAGAATTTGGAAACAATTATTTAAGCATAGGTGAGTTTATTTTTCATACATTCATGCCTGCTTTAGCTCTTAAGTGTCAAAACATTAAATACAGTTCTTTGTGAAGAGGACAAATATTTTTTCCAAAGCTACATCTTTCCACCAGGAGTCTAAATCTCTGAGATCATAGTTCTCATTTCCGATTCAAACTTATCACTTTGAGCAATCTTTCTCAAACAGTAGATGTGTTTAGTTTTCTTGTCTTTGTATAACTTTACAAACTATTCTGAAATAGAAATCTGTAGGGAGAGTATTTCACATAAACTGAGAGTTAGTTAAAATAGTGTCTTCATTTTGATTTTAAATTAAATTGCCTTTATCCTTAGAATATTTTTCTCACTTCTTCTTTGTCCCAAGTGGAACATAAGTTCTGAAGTTTTGGAGCTAGTTTCATTACTGCAGAAAAATGCATTGCATCCTAATTTTAAGGAAAAAAATTAGGTAGATTAGACTGTAATTACTGCTCTCTCAATAGAATATTGGAAAAAAAAGTCTACACAAATATATATGGAATGATTAGCTAAGATTCCTCACCTTTCATACTTTGAGTTCTCACCCAGAGACTAAATGGTATTTTCATTGCCTGGAAATACAAAGTGAAGTTTGATACACTGTGGTTTATTGTTGAACAGAGTTAACCAAACTTGGTTTCAGTTTTGGTTTGGTTTGGCTTTTCTTCTGTAACAATTTCTCTTGATATTCTGTATGTATGAATCTACTTCATTTGTAAGATTGCATGTTCAGAAACAAATGTACAGAACCAAGGAAATGGAATATCAGCTGTGTTAATGCCAAATTAAAATATAATTTCATGGGAGGAGCAGAAGGACAGCTTTCCCAAAACTCTTAGTTTATGTGGTTCTACTTCATAAAACCCACAAGGTGGTAATACTTAAAAAGAGCAAAAACATTAAAAAACAACCCAAAAGAAAGCAATAAAACCAGTGAACCAGTGACACTGTATAGATACTTGTATCCTTTAGTTGCGTTAGCATTGAAAAAAATATATGAAGAAATAGTAGCATCTGTATTACATTTAATATTTTAAACTTCAAAGGTGTATTAGACAATCAGTCATGGATTGTTAATTGTAGTTTTGTATTTTTAATTTTGTTAACTTTTTTTTGAAGAAGGGCATACATGTTTAGATACATATTTTTCCTTTGTAAAAAGTTTACAGCATCAGATTCCCTTAGTGCAGATAATTCAGCTAAACTTTTTTTCTTTTTTGTTTCATCTACAAAAGTCACAAATGTTAAAGTGTGGGAAATTCCCACATGCAGAGAATTCCCAAGAGGAAGGAAATTAAAACAGTACATGTGAAACTGTCCAAAACATTTGTGACCAGTTGCAGTGTAATGGTGTCATCTGCAGTGTTTTGACCAAGCAGTGAACTAATAGAGCTACAGGTTTCAATTTCATGTCAGCAATCATTAATATGCAATATTGCAGCCAAGTATCAAGAGGTAATGTCCACATAAGCAAATAATTGGACTCAAGCAAAGCAGGTTGTTAGCACATCATAGGCAGTGCTTAGTCCTATACATCTATGCTATATATTATTTTAATGTTTTCTATTGGATTAGATTTACTGTGATCCCAGGCTGAGATAAGGTTCTTTGGAGCTCTATATATTAAACATTGGAGGTTGCTTGATGAGTCCCTGCAGAGAACTTCCACTGGAGCTGCCCTCTAGAGCAACCTAGTACATACGAGAACTACCCAGTGAAACAAACTATCAAGAAGAAAGTGAGAATTTTCAAGTTTGCTTCAAAAATTTGTTGCTGCTGTTAGCAAAAAATGCAGTGTAGGCCTAGAAAACCAAATCCAGAATTTAGCTGTAGTGTCATACCAGCCAATGGCTATTGCTGTGCAGGCATACTTCTGCAAGTAGACCAGTATTTTAGTGACATATGAATGAGTATGATATCTGCTTTACTGTCATTGAAGGATGCCATAAATATCCATTGTGAAATTTCTTAGATCTTGACTTTTTGATTTGCAGTCTTTGATTAACTAGGAACTTAATAAGCATAATGATGAAATGATAGCACAGGAATTTCCAAAAAGATACAACCTGCAAATTCAGCCTAGGTCTTCTATCTTGTGCTGCGTGAAGCATCATATGAACTTCCAACACTAGTAACAATGCACAGTCATATAATTAATTAAGTAAATCAGTCAGGTAATCAAAATATGATCTGGAAATTAAATACTAGAAATTTTGTATTTTAATGAAATCTATTTTTTTAAAAATATATTTCAAATTCTTCTCTCAAATGCACAGCTGCAACTTGTATGAAAGCCATCTGGAGCTGTACATCTGTAGAAACAATGTGTTCTTGAATATTATAGAAATTTCAGGCACAGTGTTCAAAACACTCTGTTCTTTTTCATACATTTTATTTAGATGATTGAAAAACACTTTTCATACTATTATTTCTCTTTGAATTCTGGTCAGGGAATTCTTAAACAAATAGTACATTAATAAATCCAGGGATGCTAATGAGATGCACTCTGAGTGCTGAGAAATCTGGAAGATATTGAAAGACCGCTTTCCATAATCTTTGATCTATCATGGTCACTGGGAGAAGTGCTCAAGAGCTGGAGATGGCAAATGTCACTCCTGTGACAGAAGGATAACCCAGGGAACTTCAGGCTTCTCAGCCTCATCTCAATCCCTGGAAAAAGATGATGGAGCAACTATCCTGAAAATCATTTCCAGCCACAGTAAGGAGAAGCATACCATTAGGAGTAGTCAGTATGGCTACACCAAGGGAAAGTCATGCTTGACAAACCTGATTAACTTCTTTGATTAAGTGACTGTCCTGGTGGACATGGTGAGATCAGTGCCTGTTGTATACCTGAAATACAGTAGTGCCTTTGACACTCTCACTCATATGATGGGGATGAGCAGACAAATGCAGTTCAAAATGTGGTTTGAGAACTGGCTGAGTGGCCAGGCCCAGATGGTTGTGATCAGGGGTACAAGTCTAGCTGGGTGCCAGTGATTAGTGGTGTGCTTTTGGGGGTGAATACTGGGTATAGGCCTGTTTAACATCTTTAGTGGTGTGGATGAATTAAGAGAATTCTCAATAGGATCTTACTACTGCCTATTAATAACTTAAGATGGATTGTAATGAAGGAGACAAACTTTTTTCAGCAGTGCCCAGTGACAGAACCAGAGGCAATGGACACAGACATGCACAGGAGACTGTCTGAGCTCAAGGAAACACTTTTTTTTTTTACTGTGAGGATGGCCAAGCACTTCCAAAATTGCTCAGGAGGTTGTGGAGGTACTCAAAATTTGTCTTGACACAGTCCTGTGCAACAGAGGAGGTTGGACCAGATGAGCTCTGGAGGTCCTTTCCAATCTCACTCATCCTGTGATTCAGTGATTAACTTCACAGATTTGATCTGGGGGGAAAAAACCGAAAAAAAGTATGTTTGCTGAACAATATTTTTCTGTTCCACTTTAATTTATAGGGCTCACATTACTTAAAATCATGCTTTTAGAATTTGAAATACTAGAATATTAATTTTTTATTTAAAAGAGTTTATAGTAACTGGCCATTTGTATGTATTTTTATGATTTATACATCTATGTAGTTATATATGAAGTGTAACTTATCAGTTATCTTGGAGAAGTTTTTCTTCATAATAACAAAAATTGTATGCAAGTAAATTTATTATAAATATGTCTCTGAATTAGAGGATTTCTGTCATCCTCATGCCAACATTTATACATATTCCAAATACACTTTTGTCATCAAAACCACACCGAATAATTAACTTCCTGCTTAAGGGTGTTGAAGGCTAAGGCATTTTCAGTATTTTGGTTGATTTGCCTATAGCTTTTCTGTAAAATAAAGAACCTTAGTAGTAGTTTGAAAGCAAATAAACCCATTTATATTCACTTTTTAAACAGAGGGATAGATTGTAATAATACAAATGGTCATAACTTCTTATGAAGAATCAATCTGTTCTATTTTAAAAGTTCCAAGTGATGTAAATCATTGCCTTAATTTAAAACACTATTTTTTTGCAGTTTCTTCCATTTCTAATTAATTAATTGATTCCATAGTTACAAATAATCTCTGTACCAAATCTAGAGAGAGCTCATTAAAATTTTTTCGGACTGATTAAATGGCATTAGGATTTATGAGTCTCAGTGGGCATTTTGACATAGAACAGAGAAGTTCAAAGAAATTTTCTGTGCCTTTTTTGCTCTAGAAGATATAAGGAAAGAACAGTAGATTCAGAACTTCTTGACATCCAAGTATTTTGTAATTTTATTCTATATTGTACAAATAAAACAGGATAAATAAGGCTGATTTAGCACTTAATGTGACCACTGTTATTGTAAGCTTTTGTAAAAAAGGATGCTAAAACCATTTTTGTATCATCCCCTTAATTTTTTAACTTTTTCTACTTTTTTTCCCGACTCCTCCATTTTTAGTGTATGCATGTAGGGTGTATATTTTACTCACTATGGTGTTCAGATAAGCAAGTATTTAATTAGTGATGTTGCTGTTATTCATTGTGTATACCTGGAGGTTGAATACATTAGGAGTACTTTATTTCAAGTACAGAAATTACAGACATGAACAGCCATTTTAGCTGGTGCACTGAGCTGTAAATTGGAATCCCTGCTGTTCAAATCAAATGTTTTAGTC